GAAACGATTAAAAAATCTGAAACTATTTTTCTAATAAGATTTAATGGACAATAGAAAACAGCTGCTTTTAGAAAGGCAGGTGTGTTTTTCAAATTTTTAGGTAATTTCTTACATTCCAGTTGTTTGACCTCAATATCTTCTTTTGGGGCTGCGTTTACTACAAATTTTGATGAACTATGTATTATAGGTGTATACAGATAAATTTTTTCAAAAATTAAAAAAATTTTCTAACTATTCATTTTTTATTAATCTCAAATGACTTGTAATTTCAATTCTTTTTTTTTATTTTTACGATTAAATGCGCAATTAAGTGAAAATTGATAATAAAATTATAGTGAATTTAACCTTAAGTGTGTGGTTCTTTAAAGAAATGATTAGGTCAATGAATGAGTATCGAAGTGTGACAAATAACAGGAAGAGATCAGGCGTAAAACTATCTATAAGATTACGTAATTATAACGGAGCGCTGCAGAAGTATTAAAACGCCTCGGGGATGAATTTCAAATTAAACTATAATATTTTAATTTCGGTTTTTAATTATTTGACTTTTTGATACTATTTTTGGAAATTTGTCCTCTACTTTCATTTTAATCTTTAGTTCTTTTTTTAATATTAGACTACTTTTAATATTTTTTTACACTTTCCTTGTTTCTTGTTTCTTTTCTTTTTTTCCTTATCTTTATATTTTTTCTTCTTTCGGTCTCTCATTTTCAATCAATATAATGTTATCTCTTTCTATTTCATACACTGAAAAAAATGATATTGTCGATTTTGTCATACGAATATAGTAAGGACGTATAGCTGAAACAACAATACTGTATTTCTGTTCTTCAAATACAGTATTGGTGTTCTTCACATACATATTACTGTCTCTCACATACATATGGCTGTTCTACACTGCGTATAGCTGAAACAGCAATACTGTATGGCTGTCTTATATCCACCAATATAATATGTGAGTATTGACCATATTTATGGCAGTATCATAAATATATTTTTTTTAGTGATAGGAATATACGAATCTTGGAGGGACAAGCACCCATGTCCCCCCTGGATAAGCCACTGCTTTGTTTATTCTACCAATATCTCTATTTTCCTTTCTTTATTCATTCATTCTCTCAACATTTAATTTATTTATTCTTCCTTTTATTCTTTTCCTGTTTTTTATTTGTTATTATATTTCCTTTCTTCTCTCATTTTCTTATTAATACATTCATTCTTTCTTTTCTTATTCTGTCATTTTCTTATTGATTTATTAGTCGTTTATTTTCTTATTTCAAGCTTTCATTTTTTCTTCTCTCATTTATTAATTCTTTTACTTTTTTTACATTCTCTTATTCTTTTATTGTTTTTTTGCTCTTCTATTCTTTTTCATTCTCATATGTAATCATTTAATTTTTCTTTCATTCATTATTTGATTATTTTTTTAATACGTCATTTTTACTCATTCTTTATTTTTTCACTTCTTTTTAAAGCCTTAATAAGTTAATTCATTGTTTATGATTTTTTATTTAACAATCGCTTTTTTGCTTTTTTTTTCTTTATTTTTTACTTTCATATTTTTATTCTCTCCTTGATTATTTCTACTTTATTTCAATCTTTTATTCACTTATTGTTATTTTCATTCTTCTTTTATTCCCTTATTTATTTATTCTTATCCTCTTTATTTCTTCATTCTCTCATTCATTCATTTATTTATTAATTTTTCATTCTTTGTTTTTTAACTTCTTATTTTGTTATTAATTAATTGGTAATTATTTATTTTGGTCTTTTTTTATTAACCCTTCATCCGTCGCATCTTTTTTTGTAACGCTATCCGTCGCAGGTGAGGAAAATTCTCACCCTCATAAATTAGTCCAAACTAAACAACCTATTGGCAGTAAAATTAACTTTTATTTTCTGTTAATTATTTAAATAAAAAAATTAATGACAAATGAAATCGAGTATACGCGGTCAGTCGCGTGGTGGCTATATTCTGGTGGCTGTCCTCCGAAACCATTTTCAAAATCTGGTCACCCTATCGTAGTGAATCGTAGTCTGCTACAAGCATCACGCATGTTACCAATACATTGACAGGTCTCACAGTTCGCATATTTATCATTAATAATTGAACAATTTACGATTTAATTCAACTTAAATAATGGATAAATCGACTATAGAATAGTTAATTTATTAATTATAAGAGCTTTTTCTAACATTTTTAGTTTTTTTGATGAACTTTTTTCCACTATTTAAAGTGTAACCACCTATGTACATTTATGTTTATCGAATCTGTCAGGAATTTCGAGTAATTATTTATTATTTAGAGCTTTATTAATTGCAATTTTTGATTAAATCGAATCTCTAAATATCCATTTTACATTATCAACACTTCCTTTTGCTATATAACACTTTCTAAATAGTTTTTTTCAACGATTACCTTATGTCTACCTTATGTCCACTTTAAAAGTGAACATATAGTAAATCCAAATCTGGCAGGGAAGTGATGGATTGGAAATGTAACGCGCTGCTTTAGCAGTCACTGGTTAGATTATCTGGCCTGTGACTGGCAAGTAACTGACAAGTAACTGGACAGTTTTCTGATCAAAATCTAGAATAAAATATAATTTTTCCTGGCTCTTTTTATTTTGTTTATAATTACATATTTATTTATATTTCTGTGTTTATTCAAATATTTAAGATTAATGAACTATTATTCTACCAATAACACTTAAATCTAAGAATGAAAAATTCGCACGCATGGGGGATCGAACCCTAGACCCTGGAAACACAACGCATGTGCGTTACCACGCAGCCACGGTGACTAGATAGTAACTTATCATAACTACAAGTTTAAGAACTGAAGTTCTATTCCGATTTTGACCAGAATTTCTGGCCAGTGACTTGTCAAAAGTAATGATCAGAAATTATGACCAGATAAACTGTTTAGTCACTTGTCAGAGACTTGACGGCTTATCTTGTCAAAATCTAGAAAAATGTAAACTTTGGTAATGTGACAGTGAAACGATCATAACTTTTAAATAAAGTTACTTTAGACTTTTCTGTTTTTGACCGTATAGAACATAAAAATTATTTTTAATATCTAATTATAAATGATTGACTAAGAGTGTATTTTTATGGGACTGGTGCTTTGTTTTTTTCCTTAGTAACTGGTCAGTTTCTGTGTCCGCAGTTTCTTTTTTCGATAGTGTCAAGATTTTCTGGCTAGAGATTTGGAAAAATCTAGAATAATTTGGATTTGGCAAGTTTTTCTGATCAGTGGTGGAATAGTTTTTCTATGTGGAGTCTTAAATAATTCTTCAAATCAGTCACTGGCCAGTGTCTGGAAAGAAATTCTTATCACGATGATAAGATTTTCTGGTCAGTGACTTGACAAAAGTACTGTTTACAAAGGGGAATTGTTTTTCTCCAACACTTGCTCTGAAAGAAGTACTTTTCTTGGTAGAAAAGTGGCGAAAGTGGAACTTTTCTCAACTGCTCTGAAGAGCGTGGCGATAGTAAAATTTGGCGTGGCGAAAGTAAATTCAGCGTGGCGAAAGTAATTTTTAGCGTGGCGAAAGTAAATTTGGCGTGGCGAAAGTAAATCATGAATTTATTCTTTTTTCTTGTTCTTTGACCGAGATTTATTTTGTATCTAACTTCTTCCCCACTCAAAACATTCGTCTTTTATTATATTAAACATAAGAACATTTTTAATTAAAATTATACGAAACTCACGAAGAAACCTTTCCTCGCAAGGCGTTGGAGAAAACGTAGTGCACAACTCGTGGTGAAAGAATGATTTCTCTCGAGTGATTGCTGCTCTCGCTACACTCGAGCCGCAAACTTCACTCTCGAAAAATCACACTTTCGCCACTAGTTGTACAATGTACTATTATCCAGTGAAACTGGCCAGTCATTTGTTCAGGACTGGTCAGATTGTCTTGGCAAGTAAAACTCGCTCTCGACTCTACAGCTACTGAAAGGAAACAAATAATACTTGACAAATTTCTACCTGGGTACTTTTCGTTTCTTTATTTCCTCCTTTTATTACCTTATTCTTTCTTGTATTCTTTATTTTTTCTTTTTCTTTCTATTTTCTTAAATCCTTTTCTTTTTTTATCCTCTACATCATTCCCTTCTTTCTTGATTTCTTTTTTCTTCTTTTTTATTAATTTTATTATTTCATTTTACTTTTCACTCATTATTTATTTCCTCTTTTCATCTTCTCTTTTTTCCTTTAATTTTCTATTTTTTCTCTAATTTTTGTTTCTTTTTTCATTCTCTACCTTATTCCTTCCTTCTGGCTTTCTTTTTTTCTTCTTTTATCCTTTTTTCCTTCTTTCATTTTCTCCTTCATTTTTTTAGTTTCCATTTATTTTATATTTGTACTTTTGTATTTTATTTCTCTCATTTTCTTTACTGCCTTTTTCTGTAAAATGGAGAAATTAAAATCCTGAATTTTTTCCCCACTTTCTCCCGTTTGAAGAAGGGCTCTAGACAGTTTTCCTAAATTCTTTCAAATTTTGTGTTATATTTTCATTTTACGTAGGTCAAAATAGGTCAGTTGCTTCACAGGAATTAATCTTACTAATCTGTAATATATAATGAAAATCATCAATTTTAAAAATCTAAAAACAAGAAAATTAGAATTAAATAATTTCAGAATTTAAAAAAAATTGAAGTGTTAACTTGAATTAAGAAACTAAAGTTTAGAAAATTGAGGAAATCGTACGTCAGCGCAATCTAACGTGAGACTAGTAAATTCATTCCCTCATAGGAAAAGTAGATAGAGTAAATACGAATCGGTAAGAACATTGGAGAAAGAATATGTACCTATCATCATCTAGCTAGGAAGTGCACCTAGAAAAAGAAAGGATTCAATTGCCACTACCGAGTGGTAGATTTTGTAAACTTTGAACGTGCTGTGATGATCAACCAAGAGAAGGCAGCACGGTCAAGGCCATCGACTTTATAAAACAAAAGAATCTACAATGCCTTTCTCTTCCTTATGCTTACAGGTAGAACATTGATGAAACACGTTCTCCTGCCATTTCTTCTGGGATTCAAGTTCAATTTAATCTCATTGATTCCACTTGTATTTGGTATTCTTCTTTTTGTCACAAAAAAAGCATTGATATTGACGAAAATTGCATTAATACTCACTGGTCTATTGGGATGGAATAATATATTTTCTGGACCAGTTGGACCGACGCCACCGATAAATTTTAACGGTTTTGGCTACGGCAATGGTTATGGTTTGGACACAACGGTCGACGATTATCCTTATCATGAGCATCAGGTACCCTATCGACCATTCGCAGGACAAAATCCAGGAATTACTCCCTATGCGCATGTTATTCGCGAGGTTGTTAATGTTTACGATGCCGAGACGGATGCTGAACGATCTGATGCAAGTTCGAGAAATGGAAAGAATTTCGTATGGTCGAAGGAGTGAAAAGGATTATTGTAATTTTCACTATATTATTTATTGTATTTTTTATTTTGTTTCTCTTGGGTAAGTTGTAAAATAAAAATTACCAAGAAAACAGTAGGAAATTGTAGGAAAATAAAATACAAATGCAAATAGTAATTTATAGATATATACAGTACTCAGATAGCACGTAATATTGACCCAAGCTTACTGTGCAAGTTTTGCAATCTTGCTGCAAGCTTCAAATATCCCATCTAAAGATTCCTTGCCGTGTAAGCTTGACAAAATATTTGCTTGCTTAAATATTGCTTTGTGAGTTTGCTGCAATATTGTGCTTGCATAAGAAGCTTACCGCATGCTTGCTGCAAGATTACTTGCTATGTACATACGTAATTTGAAGATATTATAAAAGTATACTTTTATTAGATTAGAATATTTATATTATATAAGAGGTAGTTTTATTATTTTATGTAAATTATAATTTATAGATACATTTATTTCTAGTGATACAAATTAAAAAAGATAAAAATTTTTATAATCTTAATTAATTTCAACAAGATAATATCTCCACTTTAATATCTTTTTATTTTTGTATTTTTATTTTAATGTTTTTGATTTCTTGAATGACAATTATTTTTAATATAAATAAACAAGTCTGTGTATTTATACCAGTATTATTTTCTGTCATAGATAAATTGTTAGACAGTAATAAGTAAATAAAAAATTAATGAAATACTTTTAATCTTATTTATTGGAAATAAATGAAAAATCCAGTTTTACAAAAACTATAACTTTTTCATCTTTATATATTTTATTATTTAACCTTATTTATCTAAAATCATAATATCCAAAAAGCTTTGTATAGAATCTAAGAATTAACTACCATTTGTTCGTAGTACAAATCTATAATTGTAACATAGAATTAAGTTTATTTAATTTTAAGTATCAATAATAGTTACCGAATTATTGTTATTAAAAATTTTAATTTTAATAATTTAAATTAGAAATTAGAAGTAATAATTAAGTTATGATTATTATCTGTATTCTATAAATATTATATCTATAATTACTAATTTTGACAAAAATGTTACCAGAATTATTCACTGTGAATTAAAACCCATGTAGTACGTATAAACTTGCAATATTATTGCAGCAAGCTTTCCGTGGAATATTTCTGTAATATTGTGGTATGGTTTCCGAAATCTTGCTAAAAATATTTTTAATTTTTATTATATTAAATTAATATTAAGTATATTTTAATATTATAAAATAAAATTTATAAGAGCAAGCTTACGGCAATCTTGCAGCAAGTATGATGTAAGCTTACAGCAATCTTGCGACAAGAATACGTGCTATCTGGGAACTTTCTTTTTATTAAAACTAGCTACATATACCTCACTCGCTAACGCTCGTTCGGTTGTAATAAAACTTATTTTTTTTACTTATTTCTTTCTTTTTATTTATTTTTGCTAAGTAAATAAAAATTTTTTCAAAATTTAACACACACTGAAAAAAATTAAAGGCAGAATGTGCTTTTTACTAAGGTAATTTTTGTCTAAGTACAAAAGTAATACACGAAAAGCAATTGTTTCTTTTAAAAAAGGCAATTTTTGCCTTAGTTAATAAAGTAACAAATTCTTGTCATTTATCAAGTAAATTGTTTACATATGTCAAATCGAATTTTATAATTAATTAAAATAATGGGTACTAAAGGAAGAAATTTATTACTGAAATGGAATCGAGAAAATTTTCTTGAAATATTTAAAGGTACTAATTTCATTTGTTTAATAAAATTGTTTACGCATAAAACTAGACAAGTTTGGTTATAAAGTTCACACATGCATAACATAATTATTTCATATCGTATTTTCTAAATATTCAAATAGAAATTTGTCTTGTGATTTTATAACCTTATTAACTAAGGCAAAAATTGCCTTTTTTTAAAGAAACAATTGCTTTTCGTGAATTGCTTTTGTACTTGGGCAAAAATTGTCTTAGTAAAAAGCACATTCTGCCTATTATTTTTTTCAGTGTCAAATTTGTTACAAACTTAAAAATGCATCGTATTCGATTAAGATTTGTTACTCGGTTCAAAATGGTGGATTTAATATGGCAGACCACAAAATTAAAACTTCATATATGTTGGCTTCAAATTTGTTACTCGGGGGTTTTCGGGGCCGCTGATTACGAATCTGAAATCAGATTTTAAAAATTCAAAATGACGGATTCAATATAGCTGGATGATAAAATTAAAACTTCATCCTATTTGTCTACAAAGACATTATATCGTATGTCGTCCGCCATATTCGATCCGCCATTTTAAATTTTTTAAATCTGACTTCATATTCGTAATCAGCGACCCCGAAAATCTCCGAGTAACAAATTTCAAGCGAATACTACACTGAAAAAAAAAATTTAATTGATTCAATTAACCGATTAATTGACTATTATCCATTAAATATTTAATTAAATCAAATAATATTTGTTGGTATTTGATTCAAATACTGAAATTATTGGTTCAAATACTATTTAATTGACTCCAATAAATATTATTTGATTTAGGTAAATATTTAATTGATAATAGTCAATTAATCGGTTAATTGAATCAATTAAATTTTTTTTTCAGTGTATGCATTTTTAATTTTATTGTCCGACATATTGGATTTGCGACTTTGAATTTTTAAAATCTGACTTCAGATTCGTAATCAGCGACCTCGAAAATCCCTGAGTAACAGATTTCAAGCGATTTCAAGAACTTTGAAAAATTGTATCCATCCTGTGTTAAATTTTGGAAAATTTTTCACTTTCAGCCGCCATTTAGAATCAAAGAATACCAAACATCTTTAAACGCAAAGCATATTTTTAAACTAAAACTATCGGCAATACATTTTTTATACTTTCGATGACTTAGAAAAATCGTTATCACAACTAAAATTGGATTTTAAAAAAATTACTTCCCAAAATTTTATATTTTTTGAGTATTTTTGAAAAAAATAAGGGTTAAACGTCACTTTTTAAAAATTTTGACCTTGCCATTCGAAAGAGCGACCCCAAAAACATATGGACATGTCCTTGTAGAATTTTTAATAATTTTTTTCTTTTAATATTATAAGCTTGAAACCGAAGTTAAAAATCAGCACATTTGGGCGTTAAAGGGTTAAAGAAATGAATCTTTTTCCATTTCCATACGTAAAAGAATTATAAAAATAATAAAAAACAATTTAGAAACTTATATAAAGATTCGTGGTAGAGAATTGCCGCTAAGTAAAAATTAAAAACCGTGTATAGGGTAAACCAGACAGTAGTCGGACTATTTTAAATTTTGAATGGCTATAAAACTGTATGAGATAAAAATATTTTGTTTATTTCTAATCATTTCTAAGGTAATCATAAACAAATCTAAGCTTTTGTAATTAAAAAAATCTGTCCGCGCAAGCGCGGACACATTCTCATGCGCGCTTCGCGCGGGGGCTCGCTTCGCTCGCAAGTTTCAGCGCGCCTCGGGGCGCGCGAATATTGATCGTCGCGCTTCGCGCTCCGGCAAATGGCTCGCTTTGCTCGCGGCGGTCTGCAATTGTTATGCATTATTTGTGTTCTTGTTCTTGTTTCCTATTATATATTTCATAAAACATTTTTCTTTTCTTAAAGTTACTACGACTTTAAGGATTACATTCTCATCACATGTTTTTGTTTGCTGATAATTGCGAGATAAAGTGGATTTAAATGTATAAGTTTGGTCTTGATGATTTAAATTGTGAAGTTATTTTTAATTATACTAACTCTCTTAGCAGAAACATGATTTCCAGAAGCAGATAAAATATTCTTAAAGTATTAGTATCAAGGTTTTTGTGTAGTGTAGACCGGAGCGTAATGGCTAACTTTTCACTCTTTGTTGATTTACTCGGACATTTTTGTTTTAATGAAGTGTTTATCTCCTAGAAAAGTTACTCTAGTATCTCAGCTTTCTTTTAAAAAGACGAACGTACCTATATTACGCTTACTTCTTTTCTACAATGAACGTACACTTCGTCGGTATCGTAGGTTGCTCTTTATACATAGCCTGTTGCATTAGCCAACACGCCCTGGGGGTACTTGGGAAATATTTTGTAATTTTTATCAATACAGTAAGTGTGAATCAAAAATCTCAAATTGACCCTTAAAAAATGTTTCAAGCTTAAAACGCGATTTTAGTTTCTTTTTTAAAGTTATTTTAAAAAAATTAGAATTAGAAGATAGGATTAAAAATTCAAATGTAAAAAAGGGTCAGACCAGCCAAACTGTATTAAAGAAATTTCATTGATTTTCTAAAATGTTAAAACTTTTATGAATATATTTTAGTTATAACATTTTAGAAAATCAATAAAAAATTTTTAACCCAGTTGAGCTAGCCTGACCCAAAAACTTAAAAAAAAAAATTAATTTTCTATAAAAAAATGTTGTAGAGGAAAGTTGTTTGTATTTTTCTAATCTAGAGTAATGAGAATGTAAAAAATTTGTACGGTTTTTGAAAGTTTTTTTAAGTGGCCAATCACTGTCGGATTCTCATTTGTTTATTTACTAATTTTTTTAACAAATAAAAATTTATTTTTTATAAACATGATTGTTTTAATAGTTTTGTGTAATCGTAAGAAACAACATCACATAAAAGAATTTGAAAAAAATATGAATTGCACTTTTAAAACAGTGTTAATTAAGAATATTGCTTCAGGTGGCCGACTACTGTCGGATTCTTACTTTTTTGTAAATTTTTTTAACGAATAAGAAATTTATTTTTGTAAACATGATTGTATACTAGTATTGTAGGAATATTAGGAACAATAACACATGGAAGAAATTTTAAAGAAATTTTAATTGTAATTTTTAAACAGTATTCATTAAAAATATTTTCTTAAGTGTCCGACTACTGCCTGGTTTACCCTATATAGGTATATATTTATTTATTTATTAGTGTTTACGGGCTCAAAGCCCTTTTGTACAAAGTACTTAACAATATTAAAACTAATCAACAACAAGTTAGCATAAAGAAAATGATAAAAGAAAGAATTATGATAAGGTTATTCAATATTTTGGATACTTTTATAGAATTGAAGCAAAGAAAACTAAACTTCTAAACGGATTTGTAAATATTTTGGAATATTATTAATAAGTTTAAAATCTCGATATATATTTCAGGAAATTTCAAAACATTTCGTATTTTTTGAAATATTTAGATTTTCCCGAAAACATTTCGGTTTTTTTAAATTTGGACAAATGTAGAGCCTACACTGAAAAAAAATATTTTTGTTTAAAGAAGATTTCTCTTATTTCAATGCATATTTTCCTCTTGTATATGGCTAAAAAACGTCCTCTTATTTTAAGAGGATTATTCTCCACTTAAGAGTAATTCCTCTTAAAAGTAGAGGAATAGTCTCCAATGAAAAGTAATATTCTTAATTCAAGAATTGGGTTA